TGTCGGGTTTGAGGCTAATTCAATTTCTGAGCCTAAATCAGAATCCTTAAGTAGAACGTCATCATAGATTCCATAGGATAATTTCGACAAGTTTATTCTCTAATATTAATAACCATAGATAATGGTACGTATTGTTTTTTAGCTGCGTGGATGATGCACCAATACGTATGCGTATGTTATATTTTGCTGCGTTCGGTCATTTGAAGGTTGCCTTTAAAGAAATCCGCAATATTATAATCACTTCCAATGGGTCCGAGCTAACAGAAAAAAACGTCAAACGAACATTTCATTTTGACGATTAATGAGAAAAATTTCAAATGTAAACCGTCAATGATAAAATTCAAAATTCATAAAATACGAATATAATTTTAGAATTTTTGGTAACATTTCTGGTGTTTGTTTGTTTATTTATTTATTTTTTTAAATGGTAATTGGTATTTGAGTGTTTTTATTAATTTTGAATAAATTTTTATTATTATAAAATATTTTTTAAAAATTTATTTAAGGAAGCAATTTTTAGAAATTTTAGGATAAATTTGAAAATAATATTTATAAAATATTTGCAAATATTTATTGAATAAAAATTTTACGACAATTTAAACTAATTTAAATATTTATTAAATAAAAATTTTAAAAATTAGGATTAAAAATTAAATTTATTGAAAAAAAAAATGGAACAAAAATCTATAAATTGAAAAGGAATTTTTTTGTATGAAAAAAATTTCATTTTAAAATTTTAATTTGCTATTGGTTTTTACCAAATGAATTTTAATAATTTCTCTATATTTATCCATTCGAGACGTAAATCTCCATTTGTTATTACGAATTTAAATTCAATAGCTTCAATAAATTTAGATAAGTTGAAATAATTGGTAGAAATGATTTCATCCGTTTTCACGATGAAATTATTTCAATTGATAAGACTGATACGTATGAACCGATATATTTTATTTATTTATATACATACATTTTAGACAATTATTGAGATGGTTTAATGGAATAGAGGGTGCATTAATGGGAATTTTTCCATGGGACTTTTTGTAAAATAATTTTTAGTGTTATTTGATGCCTAATCGAGTAAGCCTAATCAACAACGGAGATCTTAGGATGAGCATTGAAAGGGACGAATATAAATTCAACGAGATTTTACGATTAAACATTAAAAATCTCAGCGATCACGTTTAACGTAGTCTCAAGCCAGAGTTTATGATAATTTTCTTTATTTAACTCGGTTGATTTTAGTTGCCGACTCACCTGTATTTCTATTTCCAAGGTACTGACTAACTTATATATTTGTCTAGAACGACAAACCAGCCAGTAGAATAAGCCTAACCTAACCAATAATTATGAGGATTCTTTTTAAAAAAATTTCTTAAAAATTTTTTTAATCACTTTTTTGTTAGCTATTAACTGGAAACGATATTTTAATTTTGGATACGGGATACGGGAAGATTTAAATGGTTTTTCATTCCAATTTTTTATTGTAATTAATATTTTTGTTATAAGTTTAGATGGCATAAAAAAGAGTGACAGGAGAGAATATTAATCACATGTATAGCATCGGAATAAGCGGCTTGGAATTTATTCTTGAAATTTCCGCAATCAACCTAACCAGTAATAATGCGACTTAGACGAATATTTACTATATTTAATAATAATAATATTTTTTATAATATTAGTATTACTACTATTACAAAAATTATACACTAATAATTTGCGCTTGCACAAATATTTTTCTATATTTTTCTTCATTGAATTGTAAAATAATTATAAAGATTCCTTGAATTACACATTCTTTTGTGATTTGATTTGCTTTCGACCATTCTTTACACATAGTCATTTGCAATAATTCATGAAAATGTTAAAATTATTAAAATAAATTATTAAATTATTAAAATTATTAAAATAAATTATTAAATTATTAAAATTATTATTTAAATTTGTTTCATGATTACATCAATGTTATCACCGAGTGTTGCCTTCGCTGGTTAGGAAACATTCTCCATTATCCACCACAGAAATTGACGCATATTTCGCTATTTGCTAAACCTTGTGTTGGTGTCAAAAGCGAGGAGAGTCAATCAAGATCTGGACTGATAAAATCAGGAAGAACTTTGAACTTATAGAGAGACCAGCGATATATGGTCTTAGACGATGGAAAAAGGAATGGCTACTATTACTACTAACGATGATGTCGGAAGCCGAACAACTTGGAGATGTCTTATCCTTATAGCCAGCAGAGCCAGTCTAACCAGTAATGATGAAAGTTGTCAGAAAAAGAAAATTTAAAATTTAAAAAGAAAAATATTTTTTTCCATTCATTGAAAGTAAAAATGGTCATTTTTTTTACTTAATGACCAAGAATGAAAATAAAAATGGTCCAGTGGAACACCACCGACATATTTAATCGAATCGAACAGTGGCATTCTGATTACTATACTAATTTTCAATTTGCTAAACCCTATTATAAAAAGCATCAAAAAAGTGGAGGATTAAATAAATTTTCGACCGAATCATTAAAAAAGATTTGAAACTTTTTAAGCAGTTCAAGAATGGCTCCGTGGGCTGTTGCTCGATTAGGAGTGCCGATGTCGAAATTCGATTCCTCCTCAGGAGTATAAAAATCCGAGTGATACTAACAACTCATCTATATTTTTATCGCCAAGGGATCCCCTGGCATATTGCCCAATTGCGAGAAATCAGTGGAGCGAGTTTAACCAGTAATGATGAGCAAAAAAGTAGTTCAATCAGAGAGAAATTTAGAAAATGTAAAACAGAATATCACTCTAATATTTCATCGGAATGAGCAACTTGGAATTCATCCTTGCTTGCGCAATTAGCGTAACTACGAGTAGTAATGGTACGAATCAGAATGATATTGAATATAAATATTTATTATAAAATCAACTCAATTATATTTTGTAATAATATTTTAATAATATTAATATTAATATTTAATATTAATATTTAGCAAATATTATTAATTATAAATATTACAATAATAATATGAATATAACAAAAATTATTAGTAAAAATAAATATTTATTAATGAGTATCAAAAATTAATATTGTAATATTTATAATTAATATTTTAATTCTGTGCAAACTTATGCTACTAGTTTAAATTAAAATATTAATGAGTAACTGGTTATTAATAATATTAATAAATATCAATAAATAATAATAATAAATAAATAAATATTAAATATCACATCCATTTACTAAAATTGCTTTAGGCATATTTTTTCCGACAAATTTTTAAGATAAATAAAGCAATAAATCAAAATTATCAAATTTATAAAATTTAAAAGAAATGTTTCAATTCAAAATGAATAGCCGCAAGCAATTAGTTGTTTCAAATAAATAATTGAAAACGAAATTCGATTGGTATATTTTAAAAAAAATTTTATGAAAAAATTAAGGCGAATACGGCGAATTTATCGCCTTTAAGTTAATAATAATTACTAAGTAGATATAATTAAAAGCCATTTAAACAATAAAATTTCCTCTATTAATTAGCAAATTCTGTTAATTTTTTAGTTTTCGAATGAAATAAAAAAATGAAACGAAATAAGCAATATTTACGCTTTCATGAATGGATGAATGAAATAACGACTTCAACCAAAAAAACTACTTCAAAAAAATTACTAGCGGTTCCACGGTAAAAAAACACCAAAAAAAGAAGTTGTAAAGGAAACTATTTCCGCCTTATCTAATACAATGCTCTTCACTTAAGGCACAAAAAAAAGCTTACAAATGAGCAAATATTGGGCTACAGAAGAAATTGTTGACCGAGGAAAAATTCAAGGCTGTTATTACCGATGGAATAAAATATAAAAGTGAAAAAGATAGCATGCCAATTGTCAGGTTGACGCCGTATCAGACCGAACGAAAATGGGAAGAGATGTATGATTTGATGATGTTATTCGAATATGGCGAAGTCAATAAATTTACCAAATTTTCACTTCTCAATTCTCTATCATGAATTATAAATTAGATTTTCTCATTTCAGTGATTCCTCTTCCATTGAACTTTGTTGTGGAACGCTGTAGATATTATGCAAGTCACGAGCAGAATCACCTGTGTCACCCATAGCCAAAACACCCGAAGCGAATCCATCACGTAGCTCAGATAGACGCTCATCCACCTATGATTTTTAAAGCATAAAGATTTGAGAAAGATAGAAAAAAAATTTCAAAATATTTAAATAATTTAAATGCTCAAATATTTCAATTATTAAAGGCACCATTGACAGCATTTTTTCTAGATCTTCAGGAGTTGGTTCTATTTCAACATTTTTGTCATTTCTGCCAGTATTCGGTTCCATGTTCTGAAAAATTTCATGAACCATTTATCCTTACCATTTGCTGTGAATGTACATTCTATTTGAGAACTTAAATAATAAAAAAATTTCATCAAAATGAGAATTTAGAATGAATTGAGCCAATACTTACGAGCACTTCATTCATAAAATCATCACCGAACGGATCAAGTCCGAATTTATCCTTCTTTGTTTTTTCATATAGCTTTTTCTTTCGTTCATCAGCTCGTGGATCAAACTGATTATCGAAAATATCTTCCATTTTATCCAATTCAAGATTTTCCAACTTTCTACCAACCTTTAAAATAAAAATCGAAAAAAATCCATCCACAATTTTCGTAACGTTTAAATACATAAGAAAAATTTTTAATACAAGAAAAAAACACAAAGAAGAAATTAACCAACACATGGCCCACTTGAACGAAGTTCGCTAGCCAAAGAATTCGGAGCAATATTCTGTCGTTTCGAAAATGATGGAGGTGGAATTAAAGCACGTGGAATCGTGTTGTTTGATGAAACACTAGATGGAGGTTCACTTGGCATAGGAGTAGTTGGAAGCGACGGTGCGTATATATTACCCTAACATAACAAAAAAAAGTGTAGAAAGTTAGAAAAGAAGAATTATATAAAAATCAAATAATAAAACAGCAAAATAAATTAATAGGAAAACCAACATTTACAGAATTTTTTTTTAACGCTTCTGCCAATTTTATTCGTAATTCGTTATTTTCGGTTTCCAGTTCCGCTATTCTTTTGCGCAGAACAATAAGTTGTTTCCTATTTTCGAGATCTCTACCATTCTTCTCAAGAAATTTCTGTAAAAGAAACAATATAATAAATATGATGCTATGTGTGAAATTTAAGTTTCGATGGATGAAAAAATTATTCATTCCAAAAATTCAAGAGAACTTATGAGACATTAGATGCATAAAAACTAATAGAAATTATTTCCTTTTCAGAGTAATTGAAATTTAGCACCAACATCATTATTCAATTTTTTTTCTTTCCTATATTATTCTTTTTTCTCCTATGTTATTGACGGGGGAAGTTTTTGAGAATTTTAAAAATTTTAAAATTTCACCTAATGCTTTTTTTTTATATTTTGCTTTTTTTATATTTTGCTATTAAACTTAGAATTCACGAAATAATATCTCTTTTTATTCTTGCTCCTGATCATTCCAAATTCCTTTCACAGTAATATCTGAATTCATCGTTCATTTGATCATTTATCACTCTTAAAAATTTCAAATAAAAAACACATACTTGATAAGCAAGATCAAATGCTTCACCAACTGTTAACGTAATTTGCTCAGCCAATTTTTCACTCAAAAACACGAAACAATCATGACGGGATGATGATTCTGCTTTTGCAATGAATGAAAATACTCGTTTATCCTTAAATTTCGCAAAATTTATAAAGTTCAATATTTACAATATGCAAACAAAAAAATGATAAAAAAGAAAAAACATTTCGCTGAACATAAGTCTTCTCAATGAAAGCAAAAGAAAGAAAAAGAAAGCAAATACCAACTTGTTTGTCATCTGCACAAAAAGAAATCCTATGAAGGGGATATTTGAATAGTATCATTTTAGTTTTGTTATCAACAATTGTAACACCATCTACATTTATATGTAAATCGACTTTTTTCAATTTCGCACCGGAATGTCCAGTTACACCACGATTCACCTTAAATCACCAGAATTTTTTTTGGCAAAGAAAAAGCAAAACCAGGAAAGCTGAAAGTAAATGCTTAATATACGAATAATGGGTAATTCAATCTAAGGTTTTCTCCAATATTTCTGACACTCAAGTTTTTTTCACAAGAAGCCTTATTTTCGCATTCCCTTCGAGCATTCAAAAGAGTAAGAGGAAAGAAAAGAAAAATGATAAAAATGCAAACACTATAAGCGATGCTTAGGTAATGATAATGATAATGAAAATGCGCAGTTCGGAACGTTCGGAACGAGAAAGAAAATAGTATCTATCATCACTGGTTAGGGCTTATGTTATTAGTGGGATAAAACAACACTTATGGATAGAACAACAAACGAGTTCCTAGCAATAACCCGATTTCGCAATAATACATTTATTTCTGCTAAGGACAGGATGTTTCAAACTACAATTATTTAATATATACCAATTTTCGTTTCAAAAATTTGGAAAAAATTAGAAATTAATTAAGAATATATAAAAAATAACTTGTAACTGAAAACGTATAGCATGTATAGCATCACGAATTACATGTGTTCCTTTAGCTTCTTTAACTTCGATCTGACCAAGCATTTTTACGGAATATTCTACTCGACCATTCAGCAATATATCTAAAATTTTATTTAAATTTTCTTAATATAACACGAAAAAAAGAGGAAGAAAAATTTAAGCCTTTCATATAAATACTTAAAAAAAAAAACCTATAACGAAAACCTAATTACCAATAGAAAAAATAAAAAATACATAAAAATAAAAGCACAAAGAAATATTTTAACTTTAATATATATATATATTTATTTTATTTTATTTTTATATTGAATGGCTCTCACTTCGGAGGGCCAATGCTTGGATTAGTTCTATTCTAAGCAAGGTTAAACCAGTCTTTCCAAAAAAAGAGTGTTGCTGACGGCTCATCTGCACTTCTGTTGTTAAATGGCTCTCTGGCAAAACTTGTTTGATAAGCCAGCAGTGCAATTTTAACCAGTGAGTTCTTCAAAAATATATATGATATATATATTTCCTGGTATTTTCTGGTATTTCTGATGTTGTTGACGGTTGAAGGAGAAAAAAAAAACATCGCTTGGAAACAGGTAAACCGATCTTAAACCGACATATCTTAGACAAGAGTGGCCAAAGGCATATGGCTTCTTAATTTCCTCCACTCTCATTGACCATGTTTCAGAGCCATATAGCAAGATCGAACGAATTACGACTATATAGATGCGGACTTTCGTTTTTATGGTAATTTCACGATAAAGATTTCATAAAGATTTCGTCAACCGGAAGAACGCATTTCTAGCTGCCATAATCAGGACTATAATATCGTCTTTTGTCTTTCCTGGCAATTTAGTATTAGAATGGACCCAAGGTATTTAAAATCAGGCAATTCCTCGATTAGTTTTTTTTTTCTACTCGTCGTTTGGCGATATCATTAATATGAAAGGAATAAACGAGTAAGGAGAGATTATTATTATCTCAAATTCGTCATAAATCTAGAATAAAAATAATGAATAACCGTCATTATAGAAAAAAATATGAGTGTTAAGGAAAATAGTACCACTTTAAATATGAAGAAAATAAATCGACAAGTGATGCTTCTATAAATCGACTATTGTTAATCGTAATCGTAAATTACAATAAATATAAAAAAAAAAAACTCGCGTGGTACTATCTTTTTATGCTCTGATGATCTTTTTGATCTCTCGAGAAATCAACTAAAGCAATAAAGTTAAAAATGCGCAGAAAGCAGAAAAAGATAGGAAAATCAAACCAGGTGGATGAATCCATTGCTTAACTGATGGAGCAACATAACGAGAATGATTCGACATTGATGAAGATGTCGCGACAGCAGATGCTGTTGAGCTTAACGACCGCTTTATTGTATTATAAATTTCTTTACCTTTCGATGTCATCTAAAGAAATTTCAACGTATAAATGAATAGGAAACTTATAAACCTATCAGTTTGACCTATGACCTCATTCTTCATATTTTAATTTGACCTATGACCCCACACCAAATAATAGAATAGATAAATATACTTCAAATCCTGCAAATTTTATAGAGCTTAAAAACTCTTCGCAAGGACGCAAAAAGAATATAAAAGATGACAAATGGTGACAAATATAGAAAACCGGATAATTTGACACCCAACAAAGGTAACCGACACCCACGAAAAAGACACCCATTGCTAATACTCGGCTTTTATACGAATACACCAAATATTTAGCAAATCTCAGAATTTATTGGTTCTTTTATGAAAAAGAAGTTTTTTTCTTCTTGCAACAGCTCTCTCACCATTACTGGTTAGGCTGGCTCCGACTGCTACAAGGGTAAGACGTTTCCAAGCGGCGAGGTCTGATGCCATCGTCGACAGTAATAGAAGCCATTCCTTTTTCCATCGTCTAAGTCCATATACTGCTGGTTCACCTACACGTTCAAAATTTTTTCTCACCGTATCAGTCCAGGTCTTGATTGGCCCACCTCGCTTTTGACGCCAACCGTTACACGGTTTAGCAAATAACGAAATATGCTCCTCAACTCCTGTGGTGGACGACGAAGAATGTGCCCTAACCACCGAAGGCGACTCTCTGTGGATAACATTATTAATACAGGTGGTATTTGAACGAAGGTGGATTCGATCACGTGATATTTTATCCGCTCGATGGACCCGTAAAATATACCTTAGACAAAAGTGGTCAAAGGCATATGGCTTCTTAATTTCCTCCACTCTCATTGACCATGTTTCAGAGCCATATAGCAAGATCGAACGAATTACGTCTATATAGATGCGGGGTTTCGTTTTAATGGTAATTTCACGATGGCTTCATAAAGATTTCGTCAACCGGAAGAACGCATTTCTAGCTGCCATAATCAGGACTATAATATTGCCTTTTGTCTTTCCTGGCAATTTAGTATTAGAGTGGACCCAAGGTATTTAAAATCGGGCAGTTCCTCGACTGGCAATAAATTTACGATGAAAAATGAATTTTCAATTCAATTCATGAAAAAGAAATAAAGAAAATATTTAAAAAAGGAATGGCAAATTGAATTTATATGGAAAAGGAAAAGGAAAGAAGTAGCGAATTTGAAAACATTATTGAATTTTGAATAGTTTAAAATTCAATATTGAAATTGAATAGTTTAAATTTAAATAGTTTATGAATAAATATAAATATTTTTAAATATTCGATTATAAAATAATGAAAATTTAACGATTATCACATTGAAATTTATGCGAGAATCGATCGATTTTCAAAAATTTTCGATTGATTGATAAATCGAATTATGTTTGATGATAATGATTGTTACTATTGTTTAAAAGTCGAATATTATTCGCAATTCTCGTAAATCTCTTATAAATCCGTTATATTTAATTCGTAAACTCCTTCTAATAGCTGATTACTGATTACTGATTAGGTTGGGTACAAGGCTAAGATAAAGGTAAGTCTCCAAGCTGTCCGGCTTGACGCCATAGCTCATAGTAATAGAAGCCATTTCTTTTTCTATCGTCTAAGTCCTTATATTGCTGTACGTTCAAAACCTTTCCTCACTAGTATCAGTCCAAATTTTGATTGGTTCACCTCACTTTTGATTCCACCTACCACAGGGTTTATGACTCATTAAAGAGTCACTTGAAGTTAGAAGTACAAATTGGTGCAAAAGCGTTCAACATGAATAAATAATAAAGAAAGGATTGATGAAGCACAATGCTTTAATCTGGGTGCGTCGGTGCTGCGGTTCTACCCACATGAATAAATTTATCTTTTCAAAAATCAGGATGTATTAGTGGTGAATCACGGTGTACTTTTAGAAATACTGATGCGTCATCACTAGTTGGGGAATTTATGTAAATTAGCTTTTAATCAAATCAAATATCAAATAAATAAGAAATGATATATTCGCAAAATCATATGATAAATGTGAAAAATATAATTGATAACGATTGATTAAAGTTGATAAGAAAATTTTTAAAACTATCCAATTGGATTAAAATCAATGATTTTTTAAAATCGAACACTTACAAATACTTTTTAAAAAAATATTTAAAAATAAATAAAGAAATTCTGAAATATTGCAACTTGAAATTCTTTTTTATTTATTAATGATATAATAAGTAAAATAAAAATTTTTATAATATTTCGCAATAAAAAATTAGGAGAAAAATTATTCATTTATTTGAAATAATTAAAAATTCGTATAACGTTTATTTTTCAAAAATTCAGATGATGCTGGTAATCCACTTGAATTCCTTCTAATACCTCCAAATACCTTTGAAAAATTCATCTTTTCTGATAAGCTAGCAAAGCAACATTAAATCAGAAATAGTAGGCATTTTTAAAAAAAAATTTTAATCTCATAAATTAAAAAAATGAATTTATAAAATATATTAAATATATCTTTAAGATATAATAAAAAATATTAAAATTTCCAATGCGATTACCTAAAGCTATTACGTTATCTTTGTTATATGATTTTTTAGCTAACACAAATGATAGAAAAATTTGCAACGATAGGTGATAAGAATATAAATGGCCAAAAGGCATAATATATAAGGCATAAAAATAATATATATGTATTATTTTATATATGTTAAATCTGTAAATGTTTGCTATTTTCAATAGTAATATATATATAAATATTAAATATAATAGATAATATATATAAGAAGATTTCTTAAAATATTTTCTATTTTTTTAAAGTGTTTCAAATAATATTTTAAAATAAAATAAAATATTAATAAAAATATTTAAAAATAAAAATAAAAAATATACTAATTTTGTTGTTTTTTCATAAATTACAATATTTTATTAAAAAAAAATTAGAAAATAAAATTGCTTAAGAACAGTTGGCATAAAAATCTATGAACAGAAGATGAAAAAATAATTCACTTTTCTTCTTGAATTTATTTTATATTTTACTTTTGCTTTTTTTTTCCTCTCCGTAAATTTAAATTTCATTTAAATTTGCCAAATATTGTCTTTCTATTCCATTTCACTAAATTCCAACTTATATTCTTCGAGGAGATTTCTAAAATCTCCTCAAAACATACCCCCTTGAAGTTCATTTAATGCTCTACTAAACTATCTAAACCTCACCGCACATTCTCTGTAATCTTCCACATTCTCAAGATTCTTTTAATCCATTTAATTAAATTAAATCGTAAAATGGTCTCTTTTCTAAGCCAGGCAGAAACTACTTCTAGCAATACATTCTCTTCCCCTTCCAAACGACTGCGTTAACTCGACTGCAACAGCTTACAGCATCCAGAAAACAAATTACGCCATTTTATTGCTATAGTATTCTGTAAAAATTTCTGACAATACCCGTGAAAACAAAATCGGAACACGAAACTCAAAAATTTTTTTCATATGAAGAAATCCATTTGATATCGACAAAAATTTTAAAATCGCCTCAAGCTATATTTATTCTTTTTTCTCTTATACTTATATTTTCTCTTATATTATATTATATTATTATATTATAACTCTCTTTGAATTTTCTCATAACCTACTTCAAATTTAGTTATTAAATTTAGTTATTAAATTGGATTAAAATCAATGTTTTTTTAAAATAAAAACACTTACAAATATTAAAATATAAAAATATTAAATATATTAAATATTAAAAACGTTAAATATTAAATATTAAAAATGTTTAAAAATAAATGAAAAAATTCTGAAATATTGCAACTTGAAATTCTTTTTATTTATTAATGATATAAAGTAATAAAGTAATAAATAAAATAAAAATTTTTATATATATTTCGCAAGTGACTATGATGAAGACAGATTTTTTGGAGAGCATCAGCTCCTAACTGCTAAATATTCCTCCCAAAAGGTGATCTGATGAGATTGCGATGCATAACATGCTGTGAATCGGAGAATCATGTCATCAAGGTGCTTCCATCGTTTTTTCGAGGAAAATTTAACTTAGCCTACCAATGTATGCCATCGAAAAAGATATCTATTTGCTTCTCGGGCAACTAAATTAATTATTCCTGGTCAACTGTTGTTGTAGAAGAAAAAGAATAATGGATAATTTTTTATGCAATAATGATTTTTATGTAATACCTCTATAAATCTTATCAATTTTTTCCAGTAAAACCCCTTGCAAAATCCGTCGTACCTCCTCTTCAATCAAAAATCACTTGAATTGAATTTACAACATCCATCTTATTTTTCTCATCTTATTACATTTTGCTTAAAATATAGTAATTAATAACTTTTCCTCAAATTCACAATGGTTATGAGTTTTAGTTGAATATATTATACAATGGTTAAAATTCTTTTACAATTCCTTGAAATATATTTTATATATTTTTATGGAAAACCTTGCAAATTCCATGATTTATGATTTATCTCCTCAACATATCCGCTATAATCCATATTTTCCTATAATCCATTAATGATATCTTTTTCTATTGCTTTTACCATTTTAAAGTCAGCTTAATGCCACGCGTCGAAATTGGTAAAGTTTTGCCATAACTGTTACAAATTGCAAAAATTGGAACCACAATTATAGGCGTTGGGGAGTGGAATTGTTCTTAGAAAATGAGCAAAAGCGATAAATTTAACAAATTCAGTAGGATAAGGGAAATTTATAGGGATTTGGTAAGTGATCAAGACGGTATGTTGGAACTCGGACGGGTTTTTCGAGGAATACAAGTAGTAGATTTTGAAAAAATTTAGTGAAAATATTTCCATATGTTCTATTAAATCGAATATTTTTATTAATGTAATAAGATAAATTAAATTAGAAAAAATAGAGAAAATCAATATTTTGTAATAATTTTTTCATTAAAATATTTTAATATTTTAATATTATTAATTTTAAATTTTATTTATTTTTATTTCATTTTAAATTTATTTAAAAATTAATTTAAAAATTAATTAAAATTTATTCAAAATAAATAAATTTAAAATAAAATTCATAAATAATTTTTCAGGATGAATCCAATTTATTATATTATTTTATTATTTTATTTTAAACATTTAATAATTTCTTATCAGCCAATACCAAATTCACTTCGACAAAAACTCAAAAAAGTACATTCGTTGAGCGAATTTACGAATATCGCAACAATTTTATACCATAATTCTTCAATGGCAAAAACTCTTGCAAGTACTTATCGTAAAAAAACTGGCGATGAGAAGAGAATTAAATTACAAGGAGCATCATTTATATCATCTTCATCGTTATCATTATCACCATCTCTCAACGATGATAATACAGCGATATCAACGAATCGTAGATATTTATTCACTATTCAACTAAAAAGATTTAATTTCGATAAATTTTATCATTTGATGATAAAAGTTCGATAAACTCTGTTACTCTCCTTCTATCTTATCATTTCTTATCAGCAATTTTTTTATCACTTTTTAAAATAAATAGAAAAAATTTTTAATTTAAAAATTTTGCGAAATTTTTAGAAAATTTTATTTTCAGCCCAAATAAACTTGGATTTCGAAATTCTTGGCTCAATTAAGCAAGGAAACGATACATGTGAATTGCGGAATATATGCATACCAATACCAGTCAACAATCCCGATCCTTCATTACTTATATTTCCACGTTGTTATGAGATTACTCAGTGTGTTGGATCATGTTGTGATGCCTCTGAACGTTGTAGTCCAATTACGACTGAATATCTCCGAAAGCCAGTTCGTTCATCATCATTCATTTATCATCACTCTTATCATTTATCACCCAATTAAGTTATCAATTGATCGATCAATATGTCCTAAAATCGTTGATTATTCAGATCGTCGAAATGATCTATAATGGAAATAATCGTTTCATTATCAATCGAACATTAAATATAACCATGGAACGACACTTAGCATGTAATTGTCGTGATTGTTTTCAAGAACAATACCGATCCAGTTGTACAAAAGCTCAAGTTGTTGGACCTAACTGTAATTGCCAATGCCCTAATCAAGCGGAGAAGCGGAAATGTGAAAGTTAGTAATTCAAAAACTGTTCAATGTGTCAATTTATTTTTAGGTGTTTCATAAAATAGTAGTTTCTTTAAGCCGTAATTCTTGGGACATTTTTATGGATATGTTTTCTTTATCATTTATCATTTTATTCTTTATCACTTTATTCCTAAAATTTATTGCCTTAAAAAATATATTCTTTTCTATATCAATGTATTTATTAGTTGCTGGTGAAGAAATATTCCTGGAATCTTTTTCTTCTTTATCTTTTTAACATATCTATAAAATCATTTCTGTTTTGACTATCTATGCCTGGCTATTAAGGTCAAATATCTTTTTTGCTATTTGAGAATAGAACCATAGGTCGATTTCCAGCACCACTAAAATTTTATTGTCAGCGGTAGGTTTGGTGATAGTAAGGTGCATGATCCATGATGATTTCTCTCATATCATTTGGCCATTTTGTCTTTATCATTTTATCTCTATTTTGTCTTAAAACAAAACCAACGTTCATGGACATTTTCAATTTATTTTTAAAAATTAAGAGGACCATAAGTATTGTACATTGCAAAATAGAATAAGTAAGTTTTATAATTGTAAACAATTGATTGCAAAAAACCGCAATTGTTGCATTTGCCCACTGTATCCATACGAGGCTTCTATATCCTTGCCATAAATATATGAAACAATCTCCAAAGATAATTTTCGTACGACTTTTCGTCCACGTCAACCGTTCGAAATGCAATGTTTTAATATTCTCCTCGATGTATAAATATATAAGCCGAAATAAATGGAGGGGATGAGATGGAGTAGAGGATTTCAGGAGAGGATTTATTTAACGTTCCTTTAAACAATGGCGCTAAGTTGGCAAATCCTTCACTAAATTGGCAAATCGTGCCTTTCTTATTGCAAACTTCAAAATTTTACGTTCTCCTAGTCTCATAAATGACAATCATCAGCTAAGTATCATTTATCATTAAATTTTTTTATTATCATTAAATTTCATGTCTCGTAATTTAACTTCAGCACATAGCAAAAAGTGGAACGAAGAGAAATGTAAATGTGAATGTTCAATAAGTTGTCCACGTCATATGATAAGAGATGTGCATCATTGCACCTGTAAATATTTAAATCGACAATGAAAATTCTACTGTTCTAATATTCTAATATATTTATTTTTACCTATAAATTCAAATGTACATCACAATCAATACAAATTTGTAAAAATATAAAAATAAAATTCATGAAAAAAAATTTAAATAAAATTTTAAATTTTCTATCGATATTTTTAATTGAAATCTTTCTTATAACTGGAAATTTGCATAAAAATGCTTAAATACTCTTTCTAATTGAAAAATAAAAAAATATGAAATTTCTATTTTCAAAATTTTAAAAGAAAAATTTTTAAAAAAGAATTATAGAAGATTTTTAATAAAATTTTTATTATTTTTTTTCGAAGAGCAAAATTTCTGAGCCAGACAGAATATTTAATTGCCCAGCTTGCACAATTTTTGAGACGGTTCCCGAAAGAAAAGTTTTATAAAATTGATGGAAACCTTTCGGTAATATACCCAACGCTTGCGATATTGAGATCAAATACGAAATAAACGAAGATCTAAAATAAATTTATTAAATTTCTAACAAAAATTTATGAAAGAATTCATGGAAAATTTTAATGGATTTTCATTTTTACATATCAAAAAACAATTAAAAATAAATTGAGAAGGAAAGAAAAAAGGAATTCATCAATAATTATTCCAAAAATATTTTTTAAAAAAATGCCTTCAAATAAATAAGTAAATAATAACAAAAAAAAACTAACTTTATAAGCCACATAAATAATTTCGAGCTGGAAAAGCAATAATAATACGGATAACCGGTTATTAATGACAAATCTATCGCATCAATTAATTTCAAATCATTTTCTTCGGCTTTTATTATCATTTCATCTCTAAAATATTTTTTATTATTTATATATAATAAAAATTATTATATTTATATGTAAAATATAATTTGTTATGGTAGTGCAATAAAAAGATAATAACTACTGAGAATCGAAGTAAGGCTACCACTCTAGTGTCGTTTAATGGAGAAAAAAAAGGAAAGTAGAATGGCTCAGTAAGCTGCTTCTCAATTCAGAGCAGCAATTCAGCTATTCCCGTTCCTATTCCCGGTAAGAGAAAATTTGTCCAGAAATCTGATTGATGCTGGCGATTCATTTTTACTTCTATCTGCCAAAGGAATTCTCTATCATATAAATGAAGCGGGTAGAACCAGTAATAATGAGTGTTCTTTAAAAAAAAAAATCCCAGTATAATCCCAATAAGAATGAATAAAGAAAAGATTAAATCAAAACAAAATTAAAGCAAAATTTATAGCGATGTCAATGAGAATGAAAATCTAAAAAATCTTTCTAGACTTTTTTTTTCTAATAAAGACCTTTTTTTGAAAATTTTGCACAAAAAAAAGTTATAGCGAAATTTTCACCTAAAATGAAGCATAGGCATTCCACAAGCATATTCTAAATCTTCCAAAATCTTTCTGTGTTCATGCGATGTCGCATCAAATTTATCTGTTTTTAGCAGATCGTAAATGACTAAACGACCACCATGACGAAGAACTCGACTGATTTCATTTAAAACTGGTGACAAATCTTCGAAATATTTCAATGCGTAAACCTTAAATTAAAATATTCACACAAATAAATTTATTAACAGATTTGAATTGAAAATAAATTTAAACGAGGCTTAATGACACAAAGAATCTTTATCTCCGATGATTCTCCAGTGAAAAGATTTTATCCTATGGATCCATCCAAACAAGAAAAGGTAAGCACTCATAGAAAAAAAATTTCAACGACGAACCGCATATGCAGAATCATAAATGCCTTCTTCAAATGGCATATGATTACAATCACATTCGACAATTTGACAATTATAAATTCCTTCCCTAAAAAAACGTTCATTTCCAATTTGAGCTTCATTAGGTGCTATGGTTGCACCAGTTAGAGACGCACCACTATCAGCAATATCTCGCATAATGCCACCTATTCCACAACCAATATCCAAACATTTTTTACCTTAAAAAATTAAATTTGAAAAAAAATATGAATATATTTAAATTTGCTGTTTTATTTCAAATATAAGCAAACTTTTGGTAACCTTTTAATGCGATAAACTTAATGCTATCATAACTTGTTTTTTTCACCAAATTTGAATAATTTCTAATTGATCGAGTAATTCTATGCACCAAAAAATTACCGTTTTTTTTTTTGGTGAGTCCTCACCATTACCGTTTAAACTCGCTCCACTGGCTTGTCGCAATTGAGCAATATGCCAGGGAATCCCTTGGCGATAGAAATAGAGATGAGTCGCCAGCATCACCAGGATTTTTGTACAAGTTTACTCCTGCGGGAAATGGAACCTCAGCATCAGCGCTCCTAATTGAGCTATTCTATCCCCACCGATCTAATATTATAATAATAATAAAAATTTATTAAAAAAATTAAAATAAAATTTAAATAAATAAAAATTAAAATAAATTAAATAAAATAAAATAAATAAAATAAATTTAAATAAATAAATAAAATTTTTTTTATAAATTTATAAAAAAATAAATAAATTTGAAACGATACAATGAATATAACCTTTCTTGAGATCAAGCAAATTTGCGATACGTTTATGCAATGCCAATAGTGCTTCATCTAACGTTTGACCTTTAACCTGAGGAGGAACAAAATGGAAATTCCCATTAAAATATTCATCAATAATCACTGACATAACCGAATAGTAATGTGATATGACTGATAAATATGATGAATTTTTTTTCGCATCTTCATATAACTCTTTATGTTTCTCATTAAATTTCACCTTAAAAAAACACCTATCATTATCAATTTTAACTGATAACAATCTATGACTTCTAATTAATGAAAAATTCTCAAAAGTAATCAAATTTAATAAACGTTTTCCTCAGTGTTTTTTTTTTTAAAATTCTTCATAGATCTTTAGAATATTAAATAAAAATAATAAAACATTTTTTAAATAATAAATCACAAAAAAAGATAAAATTAGAATTTTGTCCAATAATCTCTTCTCATTTCTTATATAATAATTTTTTTTTTTTTACCAAAATATTACCTGCAAATAAATAAAATCACTGAATCATAATATTATTTATGATTTGAAAAAATGATAAAAACGAATAAAAATAATAAAAATAACAAAAAAAATTATTGAAACCAAAAAAAAATCCGATAAAATTTTAAATTATTTTGAAGTAACAATAAAATAAAAAACAAAAAAAAACTTTTTTATTTTTTATTAAATCAAAAAAATTTTTTATTTTTATATATCAAATTCTATATTTTATAAATTTCATTAGAATTGCATCAAAATAATTGAGCAAACAAATAATAACTATTCATTTAAAAAAAAAAGGGCAGTAATTATAAATTTACGAGGAAAAATTAGCAAATTATTAGATGAAAAAATTTCTTAACAATAAAATTGAAAAATATCTTGCGATGAAAAAAAAATGATTTATTAATTAATAATTATTGAAAAAAAAAATCAAAACAGTAATAAGTAATAATATTTAAATTTATAATATAAATTTATAATAAAATTTAATAAAATTTGTAATAAAATTTAACGTATAACTGCATAACATAATTGCATAGGATAATAATTTATTCGTCGGATTTTTTTTACCGAACTAAACATAATTTTCTCTTTTACATTAATCCCACTATTTATTTATTACTAAGAAGTACCACTGAAATAATCTACTATTTTCTAATTTTACTAGTGGATTAATCGAATAACCCATAAGGAATCCGATAAAATTAAAGCTTCTACGAAATATAACAAATAATTATAATTCTTAAAACAAGAAATGCCCAGCAAAAGAAAAAGAAATTTAAAATTTGAAGGTTTTTTTTCTCGAAAATTTTAATCGCCTAAATGAAGCAAATTAATAAACTTTTTCATAAGAAAATTCAATTTTCTTCTCTATTAATTTTTTTTTTCTTAAATTAATTAAAAATGAATATTCTAAAAGAAAATTACCAAATCATTCCGACGAAATTCTCGCAAAAGGCGAAAGAAATTTGATGTCAAATTGATAGACATAACAGAAACAAAACAATAATCAAAATCTACATCTTAATAGAACTTTTAATCAGAAAAATTGGGCCAAGGTCAGAAAAATAATGGCATAGAGATATTTGTACGATTAGCACAAGAAATGCGAGTTTGAAACCATTATTCAATTTGACTTTTTCTTTGTAATCAGTAATCAATCACTATCGTTATAGAGCGGTAAATGCTTGATTAGGCATTTTGTTAAGGCCGCAGCTCGTGCACCCGCATATGCCTATTAAATTTAAATAAAATTTTAAAATTTTAATTTTATCAATTTTTTTAGCGCAAATAAAATAAACAAAATTTTTCTCAATAATTCTAAGTTAAATCGCGAAATAAACCAAAATTTTCTCTTTACATCATGAAATTTTTTTCCACAATTTTGCAAAATGTCTATCATTCATCAGGTACTGCAATCTATTATATTTGTAATAAATAAGAAGAGTCAGATCTAATCTCATAGATAATTACAGCAATACTTCTTATTACTTCTTACCTTAACTCTAGATAATTTTATGCAATCTATTCAATAAAGAAATAGAAAAACGCTATGTACCTGCCACAAACGTCCAGCACGACTTTGACCGTGTTGATAATCAGTAATTCCACGAATCAGAGCCCAACTATCGATACGTGATCCAACAACTGCTGCAATTACTGAATCGAAACCGGCATCGACAGCACGCAAATGATATTCAGCGGCAAAACGATCACGCAACTGTAATGCTATATCCTTCGAAGAATCCTCGGTTGACTGCAACAATTTAAAAGTTTGGCAATGTTTAACAACCATAATAATAACCATAGTAAAAAAAAATACAATCATTCCATTGAACATGAAATAATTTCAATAAAATAACAATTTGAGTCTTCAAAGGCCCCGAAATGCTTTCAAATTACTATTATATATACTTGATCATCATTTAGCAGCATTCGTTTTTTACAAGAAATCATTGCACCTATCGGCCCAACATGTACAACAGAATCATTACGTTGTTGATTTGGATGTGGGATAATCACGACTTGACCACTACCTGGAATTTTGTTAGTTATTAAGAAACATTGAATAGACTACTTAATAAAAATTTCCTAACCAATTGGAAGAGCAAGTAAATCAGCTTCAGGAGGAGGTCTTGAGAAATTCACGTCTGAATTTGCTGCATTCAATTGTTTAATCATTGAATAAGTAGAATCATTCCATTCTTCCACCATTTTTTCATCCCTATAAAAAGTCTAATCCTTATGACTGAAAAATGAATAACATATCAAGAAGAAACCTTGCTTCTGCATGTTAATCAAAAACGAATGGATTTCCTCAGGTTATCGAAGTAAACCTCAAATAGAAGTGAACCTATCATCATGACGGCCATTCACCCATTCCAATAACTAAATTTTTCATCATATTAAAGCAAACTTAACCACAAATAACGATCGCTAACCATTTATTTACTTTTAATTAAATACCAAATATCTTTTTTTCAATAATACGCGTAATGGTTGTAAAAAAAAAAAATACGCAAAAAATTTTTTGAAACAATGCTATAGATTATTGTAAATTAATTTTCGATCGTAAACAACAAGCAATACTTACATATTTTTAGCAATCATGCTGATAATGTTATTCACAGGATTCCATTTTCTCGTTAAAAAGCCAGTAACATTACCCGTCTCTCTGCTCAACGTGTATGAATGCGCAAAAATATAAGAATCTGGATCTGATGAACTCACAACGACATCTCCAAGACGAACATGGCAATCGGCATCGGTATAATGAGCAACGCCACCACCTACACCAACTATAAAAACGTGCTCTACATTTTGGAAATTACCTAAGAGACGCGTTGTTATCGATCCAGCTGACGTAGTTGCTTCTCGAGTATCACCTGAAAAATTACCTGAGTTTCTGCGCTTTTTCTTTCAAATATATCAATTTACAAGCATTAGTTAGTCTGAATCTATAAAAAGGAATCCCCAAACACTAAGCTGAATCCATAAACTGTGGAAATTCTCTTAATAATCGCAGTGAATCAGTATAATGTCGTTGCATGCCCTAAATCCTCATATCAGTGCGGACCAAATCCAGATTTTACTCTCAAAAAATATTCAATAAACGATAGTATTCAATATTTACATCGCGGCTTTATTCTCCTATTATTTAAAATGGATGTAGACTATAATAACTGCTGCATTTATTTGTATGATGAACTCCCATTTCTATTATCCTTTCACCGCAGAGTTTTAAGGACAAATCCATTCATCTCTAATTTTGATGAATCAAATGGAAAAAAGAACCAAATAAGAAATCACTCAACCATTTCGCCTTTAATGCTTATCTATCTAAATATATTCTTTTTTTTCGGTTTTTCTGATAAATCATGATAAGTTTCTTTTTGTTTATCGCTAATAGAATGGGTTATTGCTCACTGAGCGCTTGATGCTGAGATCCTATTCTCCGCAGGAGTAAACCTGCCAGAAATCTAGATGATGCTGGAGACTTACTTGTACTTTAATCGGCAAGAGATTCCTGGCTAATTTGTCCAATGCGATAAACTGGCAAAGCGAGTCTAACCAGTAAAGGTTCTTTAGAAAAAAATATTAGTTACTAATCACTAATATTAATATTAATGTAAAAAGAATTTATTTAGCCCAGAAGAAAATACCATAAAGAAAAATGATCAACTAAAGTAAAGAAGTATAAAGCGATTTCTGAATAAGTGTTTAATTGATTTCGGAATGAAGATAATAAAGAAAGAGAACAAGCCACGAGAGAATTGCAATAAGAATTATTAACCAATAACAGCAAGTTTAGTAGCAACAACACGATGTTTTCCAATCCATCCCATTGTATAAATATTTGAATCACCTCCAGACCGATATCGATGCAAAGTATTACATTCATCCATAATAGCGTCAATACTTTGCTTTTCAGTAAACAAACATGTTATAACTGCTATTGTAGGAGCCATATCACGACTAATCATACCAGTTGATAATTTTGTATTATCAACTGAAAGAAAATTCAAGATTCATTTATTTTTAAAATAAAAGATTAGATAATACTGGATATCAAATCGACCAAACTACTTTTAAAATTAAAAGTTTTCTGTCGAAATTCAAAAATACCATGCATTATGAAGAATTCAATGATACCTGTACGAATCCATTCATTTTGAAGTTTCTGTGCAATACCAAGCGAATTCAACTGTAAGAGATATTGTTCAATTTCTTGTATCGTACATCGAAGAGATCTTAAAAAGAACTTTATACAATATTCTTAATATTTATAATATTTGAAATATAATATTAGACTATAAAATTTTGCATTATACGAATAAAAAAGGTATTATATTAAATCAGAATATAAATAATACTCTGCTATAATTTCAACGGAAAGACCATTCGGATAGGCGTGCTCCAGTACTTCTTGAACATGACCGATGGTGACTTTTTCCACTTCCGAATCGGAATCTATAATAAATCTTCAATTTTCCTATAAATTATAATAAAATGAAATTTTTATTGAATTCAAACAAATCATTTAAATATAAAACCGTAATCTTTCGGATCAGGCATATTATAAATTTCTCCATCTTTTGCGAAACGTATATCAATCTCAACTTCACGTAATGTATTATATCCACTTTGTAATTGCTTCATAACACGTTTTAGAAAAGTAACATAATCTAAAAATTCGAAAAACCAGTAAACATCCAAGAACAACCAACAGTACGAATTTGTTTGATTCATATATAGAAATTCTTTATGTACAGCGTAATTCCAAATATGATTAGTAAGAATGAAAGAAATCAAGAAATTATATATTTCTAATTCATTCTTGCCTAAGGTACATTCCACACATCCACCAATTATACATAACCTCGAACGATTACATGCATCTTCTCTCGAATACCATCTGCATTAATAAAATCATAAATAGTAGCAAATGTTAGATAGGTCATGCTCATCGTTAATTCGAGTATTCAAAAATCTATGAATAATATTAAAAATAAGCAGAACCAATCAAGAAATGGATATAGATACTTCAAAACTGCTATTGAACCAACAGGCTTAGAATTACCAGTTGTAATCAGCACAGTCAGCCTCGTATATAATAGTTAAAGCCATTTTCTTGATTTCTTCTAAATTTTTTTTCAATATTTGCAATGGAATCTGCCGATGCATCTCGCTTCGTCGGAGTGGCAGTGTCGGCTAACAGAAAAAAACAAAGAAGAGTAGAACAGCTCAGTGAATTGTTGTTCAATTTGAAGCGTCAACGCATAGATTCCACTCCCTACAGGAGTAGACCAATCTAAGATTAGGGTGATGCTGGCTATTCACCTGTATTTTTATCTCCAATTGATTCCCTGGCAAATTTGACGAGTGTAACGAGTTAGAGCAATGAGTTTAACCAGTAATGGCGAATACTTTTAAAAAAATAAAAAAATAAAAACGAAACACATGTTGAAAAATTAAAAACATATGTAGGGCTATAATTTTCCGTTAAAAATGTAAATAAACAGTCTTCGAATCGTAAATCTGTTTATATATTATATATTTTGAAGAAACCTTTTGGAAATGTGCTAACTAAATCCTTGAAAAATTGTTGTGCTATTTTATGCTTTTCCACATGGCCGATACTGTCAAAAAATCTAAAACGAAGAATTCGATTTTCCTGAAAAAAAAAAAATAAATTTGTAGTGTAATATTGTTGATACGGAAATATATTATAGAAATGTTATATTATTACAATTGTTACAATTCTTAATTATCAACAATCTTCACAAAATAAACAAATTTGATACAAAGAAATGGTAAACAAAAAACCTGATTTCTCTTGATACCATCATGAAGCCAAACCGAAAAACTCAGTATTACATCACATTTAGCACCTTTAAATAATAAATTTAAAATATGGTCCACTGAATAATTTAGATAATTATATATGCTTAATTATCCTTTATTTTCTTATCAATATTTTGGGCAAGATTCTTGGTAATTATTACTATTTAACATTATATTAATAATGAACAATAAAAATAATTAATAATAAATGATAAAAATAATAAATGATAATGATCAATAACAGTAAACAATAAAAATAATGATAGTTTTAATAATAAAATAAAATAATAATTACTAGTAATAATAAATAACAATAATCAACAACAGTAATAATAAAACGAAAAAATAAACAAACTTGGCTCCTCATTCGATGAACGATTAATAATAATTCCAGTATATTCACCACCACCAATATGAAGAAGATTTTTTTCGTCGACTTCGTTCGCTCTAAATTTTTCCATAAAATTTTTTTTTTTTTAGCAAATTCAAAGATTCATGATTATTACAAATATAAAATAATATAAAATTAATTGGCTTAATTTTCTTATCATCATTATCAATATGTTTTCTATTATCTGCATGACCATTTTTCTATTGTTTTTTGATCATCACATTATCATTTTTCCTTTAGATGGCTCTATAAATTACTAATGGTGACATCATTTGACCTATAATGCATGCATGCATGCATGGTATATAAGATAAAAGAAAATGCATGTGTAGTTAAATGCATGCATGACATTTATTAGGAAAGAAAATGATAAATGATAAAACAAATTTACCGAGAAATTTTAATGATATTACATTGATCATTGTGCAATAAAGGTTTTAATATAATCAAATCGCTCATTTTCGCTTTTTTTTTCTTCTTTTTTTTTGTTCCTTCTTTTCTAAAACCTAAAAATGTATTATTGGTTTTATTGGTACTAAAATATTATTGGTACTCTTTTCCGCAGCACAAATATTTAGAATCAATAATAATGCGCGCTCATTCGCTTAATTTTTCAAAAATTTTATCAAAAAATAAATTTTTTTTCTGCAACATTGCTTAGCATTTCTGATTAGCGTTGTCACTCCTCCGCCGGCTTGTCTGAACGTGCAGTCAATAAGTTACTAAGCGATAGAAGTATAGAAAGGTCGATCATTAGTCGTCGATATCAGTTATTTTTTGAAAAACAACTTTTATTCCTTCACGGAGTGGAACTTCAGCAACCTAGTAAGCTATTCCACTCCCCCTCGCCCCCGCTCACCCCGCCATTAGTACAAATTAAATTAATTCCTTAAATTTATTGAAATCACATTCGAAAAATAAAAAAATGAAAATAACAACAATAGCAAGAGAATTTTATTTGAGACGAACTCGTTATGCACTCTTCCGAAATAAATAAAATATTTATTAATCACTCTTACAATAAATACAAAAATTCAAAAATGGGCGGGGTTACCAAAGTGGAAAATTTTAAACTCTCAAACATTTGAAGAGAATGAAAAACATATGTCTGCAAATAAAATATTTAGAAAACACCGCCCATATCTTGTAAAAATTTTGCAAGAATTTTACAGAATTTTTTGCAAAATTCATCCTTGAAGAATTGTTATTTCTATTATTTTTAGAATTTTTATTATTTTTATTAAAAATTAATTTAGTATATTTTCAGTTATTTTTTTTAATAGCTTTAATTTTATTTGTATAAATTTTTATCAATTTTACTATTTTTTTCTATAAATTTTTCCACTTTTTTATTTGCTTTTTTCGCCAAATTTTTTTCTTTTTACACATAAATTAAATAAAAAAAGAATTAAATGATAAATTAAATAAAAAAAGAAATCAAAACATTTATTAATAAGACGATTAATTTTTGAATGATTCATTCATTTATTTTTTTAAAAATTTCTTAAAAAAAAACCAGTTTCCATATTTTCTTTTTTCTTACTCGCAAAATTATATGCAATTTTGCTAAATAAATTTTCATCAAAATAATTTCTTCCTTTTTTTCCTCTTTTCCTGTATTTCCTCTAATAATTTCCTCTTTTCTCTATTCTTTCGAGAATTTCAACTTTCTACGATATGAAAAATAGTTTCCTCAATGGAAAACGGAACGATAGGCAAGAGAAATAGGAAAATAGGAAAATAATATTATAATATTAATTTATAATATTAAAAATAAAATAATATTTATAGAAATAATAATAATAATTCTATACTATTTCTTAGCAAATAATAATGAAATCAAACCGAGAAATGTTTACGATTTGAATGAAATGCATTAAAAGCTAAAAATGATAACAAGCATATTTGAGTACAAGTGTAATGAACCATCAGAAATCTGTAAATTCCGCCCACATTGGAAATATCATTTTCATGAAGTTCAAGTGAAATAACTAAGTGATTTGTGCTCATTATTTCTGGGCTGTTTAGGACTCATCCGGTTGTTTGTTCAGTGAGAAATTTTCGTCAAGTAAAGTTGGATCCACAGGATCTACAATGTTCTCTTAAATGTTAGGCCATACTTCTGCTGGAATTTTGACATTTGCATTGTTACGATAATCTATGATAATCTACAATCCATTGTTCCTCCAATTTCACCTTTTATTTAGCCACTCGATGCAAAAGAATGCATCCAAAGTATTTGAAATTCGGAAATGCATTTTTCTACTCTTATAGTTTTTAAATGCGTCCAAGGCACCAATATGAACACTATTCGTTATCAGTAATATTCAATCAATTTTATCAATTAGAAAATTGCAGAATAGCTATTAGCAATTATATTTTTATTACTTTTCAAAAGTGTATACCACTTCTCTTTAGTCAAGAAAACATAATTTGAGAGAAAATGAAAAAATAGTCTATAAGATTTTGAAAATAAAAAAAACTCGATTTTTCCATCAAAATTGTTTTAATAAAATTAGTCTTATATTTTTAAAATTTTTTAAAAAAAATTTGCAAAATATAAAGAGATTTAAATGAAATTTCATTTTAAAAAATTCTGTTGAAAAAAAAAAATATTTCATGGAAACAATTTTTAAAATATTTTCTAAAATTTAACTGCACAAATCGTCAAAGCGAGGCGAGGAACAATTCGAATGCGATGAAAATAACACCGCCGGTGAATTATTATTTTATATTTTTATAGTTATTTATAGAAAATCGAACAAAATGTTTTTAAGCATAGAAATCAAAAGTTTTAAAATAGCATATTATTATTATCAATATATATTAATATATTATTATATTATTATTATTATTAGTATTAATGTTTACATTGTATATTATGTTATTAACTTTTTGTATTAATAATTAATATATATAATTAATATATAATATATAATATAAAATATTATAAAATTCTATTATATTGCATTAAAAAATACAAAAATTTTTAATATTATAAATAACTAAATAAATAAATAAAATATCATAATAAAAAATATATCATAATATTATAATATTATTAATATTATTATTATTATATAGTATTATTATAATATTATTATTATAATATAAATAAAATGTCATATTATCATAATTATCATAATTAAAAATATTTATATTATCATAATTCAAAATATTTGTGCTATTAATATTTGTATTTTAATACTAAAAATTTTGGAAATAATATTTAAACTGCAATTTATTAAAATTTTATTTAAAATTATATTTCATTAATTTTTTTTCTTTTTCCATAAAATTGCCCCATTAATTTAAAATATTTTTTTTTTGCCAATTTTCTACTGAAACTATTCGAGTTTTCTTTTTATTTTTATTATTTTTTATTTTTATATTTATTCGAAACAATTCGATGATTCGCCATTTTCTTTGTTCCTTCTCTCTTTACTCGAACTTCTTTTAGTTTCTCTTCGTATAAATGCTACTTTTGCTTCGATTTTTTTTTTTAAAACCATCTTTACAATGTTAAATTGCCAGTAATAAATCTTTTTTAACAAAATGAAACGTGTAAATATTGCGAATTTCATGAGAAGGGAACCTTCGTTGCAAAGGCAATTTTAGGTTTAAATATCCGAAACGAATCGATATTAATAATCAATTAATTAATATTAATTATTATTAATATTTAATATTCATATTAAATTTATATTTACATTAATATTAACAAATTAATATTTAATAATTATTAGTTTTTATTCCATTAATAAATGTAAATATTAAAAATATTAAAAATATTACGATATTACAATATTAAAAAATTAATAATAATATTAAAAAATTGGGAAGAAATGAATAGAAATAAATAAAATAAAAAATGAATAAAAATAGAAATGAATAAAATAAAAAATTATAAAATAATAAATATATAAAGTATAATATATATATATATATTATTATTATCAAATTGTATTAGCATTATTATATATAATGCCTTATTTTACACCAACATTAATATCACTGATATCACTGATAATATCACTGATACACGAGTTTACGAATAATTATATTCGATTATATAACCCATAGGCACTTGAAAAAAAAAATTTTGAATTGATAAAATCTCTTTATAATTCATAATTCATACATAATCCAATTCATGCGAATGAAAATTTTGTATTATAAATTTCGGACAAAAATCAAGCGCTATTTATTGAAATCTTTTCCAACAGCAGTATAGCTTTAAATCGATTTTCGATTGTCGGCCTTATTCGTGCAAAATCTTATCGCATGATTCTTTTATCATAGTAATCAGTAAAGTTTTATTGAAATCAACCTTTTCGTTGAGATATATCAGTGGTATCTTTTTTAAGGTTTTCAAATATCGTAGAATATGTGCATAAGTTTTAGTTTTCATATCAATTTTCATTTTGAACGTATAGATGGACCAGCAATATATGGACTTAGACGATGAAAAAAGGAATGGCTTCTATTGCTAATGGAAGATAGACGATAGCATCATATAGCAAAATAGATAGCAAAATCATATAGTCTGTACAGTTTCATTTGATTTCCTTATGGAACAAAAGAGAGTTATTAAAAAGACAAAATATTAAAATCAAAATTAAAAAGAGAAAAATTATAGAAATATATATATTTAATCCGTATACATATTTATGATATATATATATTTAGCATAAATTCTTAAATTAGCTTTAAAAAAATTCATTTTATTAAAATTTTATTAAAATTAATTTCTATTAATTATTAATTAAAATTAATTAATAATTAATAGAAATTAATTAATAATTAAAATTTCTATTAATTATTAATTTTATTAATATTAATATTTTTTATTAATATTAATAAAATATTAATTAATTATAATAATATTAATAATATTAATTAATATTAATATTAATTTTTTATTAAAATTAATCTTTTTATTACGAGAATTTTAATTATTACGTTTACGATTAGGATTACGATTACGATTATGATTATGATTCTTTGAAATCCTCGATAGATTTCTAATACATTTTCCATTTTTCTCTTCAAACGTTTTCATGCATTTGCATTTTACGACACAAAAATCGAAAGACGAAAATTTCAGGAGGTCTGAGAAATTTGATCGAACTGGATTGATATTTACGAATATCATGTTTAGCCCACATTTGCTTTCTGCCAGGCGACACGAATTATCCAGCAATTCTTCACCATAGAAATGATCGTTATGATGAATGGTCGTAACCTGAATATATTACATCAGGATTTGAGCTTTCCATTATTGCATCTTAAACGCTTAAATTGTATCTGTGATAGAGTTTGGAAATTTCTAAGCCAACTACCGATTGTTCTGGTCAAGTAAACCTATTTTTTTTGAAATGGTATAAATACGTATTTTTCTTCTCTTCTTTTTCTTCTTTTAATAGATTGCACCTTAGATCCGCGGTTCCATTTTTAATCCTGCTGAAATTAAAGAAATCTCTTGTTTTTCCTTCATCTAAGCCTATAAATCTGTCGGCCATCTATATGCTTAAAATTTCATCTGATTATATCAATCTAAATTTTGCCGTTTCTCGCTTTTTTTAAAATTTTATCCAAGGATTAGTGAGCATCTTATAAAACAACTCACTGCCTTGTTAAGGCTTGAAACTATAGTTGAATTCATAAAACATTTGCCATCTTTTTCAATATAATTGTTTTCTACGCATTTACATTGTTGAATACAAATTTCAAGTTGATAATTTTTAGATAGCGAAGATATTGGAATGACATTGCGCTTAACGGTAACAAAATCCATGTTTTCACCACAATTTTTACCAGTTAATTTACATTTGACATCTTCGATTTTTTCATTTAAAGCACATAAATGCGTTTGCATACATTTTGACTGAAAATAAGAATTAATAAAAATATAATTTTACGTTAAAATTTTTCAACGAACGACTTTTCAACAACTATTGTTTCATATTTGTGGTAAAGTAGTTTCGTGCTGTTCCACTATTACAGTCATATTTTATTCTTAAGGTTGCATTAACCGAGTTATTTACCAATTCTTAGTTCATTTCATTTCATTTCATTTCATTTCCACTATAAGAAATTTGAGAAATTCTAAATTCTCATATGTAAGTTTTTTATTTACAATATTATTATATATTATTATTATTACAACTATTTGTTATATTTTTTATAATTTATATATATATATATATATTTGTAATATAATTGTCATAATATAATATATATATTTTATAATACATATAATATAATATATATTTATATATTTTATAATACATATATATGTATATTATATTATGACAATTTGTGATATAATATAATATAAACATATAAATATAATTGTTAATTGTTATAATATATATATATATATATTTTAAATATATTTATATATTTGTAATATAATAATATTTGCAAATTCTTAATGTACCTTATTATTATTATTTATTATTATTATTCACCATTAATTTATTATTATTTATTATAATTATTGAAAGAACTATATATTCGTAATATATTTAATTTCTTTAGTATTTTATAATTTTAATTTTATAATTTTAATTATATAATTTTATAATTTTCTAATATTTACTAATGCAATAGGTTTTATAAAAGCGATTTTTTATTTAAATAACGCTTAATCCGAGAAAGCCTATAAGATTAGAAAGAAATGTGACAGAAATAAACTTCGACAAAACTCTTAAAAACTCAGTGAGAAAAAAAAGCAAAATCATTTTCACTTAAAAGATTTCATTAAATTGGACAAAATTAAATCTTTTAAATGATATATGGAAATTCTCCGAAATGTGCGAAAACAATAAGTTGAGAATTTCTGATGCTTTTAATTCTCGTTTTTTGAGATTTCCATATAGATTTGAAAAAAAAAAACTGTAATAAATATTTGCGAATTTTGCAATTATCACCGATAAAATTATCATTAATAACAAGTGATTTTTTAAAAATACGAATCGCAATTTCCCTAAACCCTAAAATTCTCCGAGTATTTTAAACATGGCCACTTTTTTTCTCATGCGCGATGTAATACAATAGCATTTTACGGCACACCGCTCGGATGAGGTAGAAAATCTCGGAAGAGTGGCGAAACTTGATCGATAAGGATCAATGCATTCACGAACACCACACATTTTCTGTCAGGACACCCGACACGAATAATTCAATAATTCTTTCGTGTGCGAAGAAGAAGATTATCATAGGAAAGGTCAACCTGCAAAGATAAACTAGAATTTATGACTGAGAACTTCTGTTGTTGCTGAATCTGATATGCATTGAATTTGCGAGTCTAATACGAAAATGTCCACCATTGATTTTTGTAGATGGGAATGCATGTTCTTCTTTGCATTCCGAACATATCACAGGATTATTAGGAAGGTTAGCCACGCAAGCTGAAAGGAAAAGTGAACCGTATCATCTTGTATCACATCTGGAAATAACGAAAGCTATCTAAACCCATATATTGTTGGGCCATTAATACGTTTCTCTGCTAAACAATCGCTCTAGGCCTTGATTAATTAATGCAGCTAAAATTTGCAAAGAGATTGATGCAATTGATCCTTTTAATCTCTTGCAGAAAATATGCCTTAAACATATTTAATTAAAAGCAGGCTTTTTTTTAATATCCTCCATTCTCATCAACCAAGGAGATGCAGACATTCCTTTTAGATTTCACTACGAATTCCTAGAAATTTCAACATTTGATGTGGGTAGATCTAATTTTTTCCAGTGCCTGACTCTCGCTAAATCTGCGGCAAATAATGAATGCATATCAGCCACGAATTGAATTCAAACAAAATGTTTGATTAATTTTCATAATTTCTGGCTTCACACGCAAAAAAAAAGATCGGAAACAAAGGCACAAATTTGCAACAAATATATTGTATTGTGGATTTTTTTTTTAACTGATGTAATATTTATTTATTTTTATTTTTTTTTACCTTTTCGGGATTTTGAAACGAAAAGAAAATGATAAAGAAAAAATAATTATTAATATTTACGAGTCCTATAGGTCTCCTCGATGAAATTTCTCTTAATCGTGTAACGCGTGTTTCACTCGTTGCTTCTTGAAGACTGATATATATGCATCGTTGAATGCAAACTTTATTGGGTGATAACTTTTGCGAAGAGTTCAGTCGATATTGATAATATTGCTTGATAGTGATAAATTTCATATTGGAAGCACATTTCAGACCGGTTAATTTACAATGAATATCGTGAGTTACACCAAATTTTTTAAAATCATTTTGTTCTTGTGAGAATGGTAACTGAAAAAAAAAATTTTTTTTGTGAATAACTCCGTAAATTTATTTTTGCGGTTCCCTTATTTTTGCAGTTCCCTTATAAAATTGGCAAATAGAGGATAAAATTATAAGTTAAAATTTATGAAATTTATAAAAATTATATAAAATTTAAGATTATCCAGTTAGATTTTCTCAATTTTAAGTTTTTTTTTCCTATGAAAAATCAAAAAACTTCTCACAAATCTACTAATCTACTAACTAATATAGAATTAACTAACCAAAAGAATGACGCCGAAAAACGTTATTAATAGTTGAAAATTTCTCATAACTGAAAAATTCACTAAAATATTATTTTTTTATATTATTGCATTTATATTCCATAACAGAAAACTAGTTTTTTTGAAAAAGATTATTTGTGATAAAATTGTGATAAAAAGATTTGTGATAAAAAATTTTTTGAAATATATTCTCTGATTTTTTTTAAGTTATTTTTGCTTAAATTTTACTAATTTTTCATAAGTTTAAGGTCTAAAATATTTGAAATATAGCATTTCCTCAGCCTATGATGAGTTGCTAATTGCGTATTAATCGGCCAGAAAACGATAAAAAATATTTTGGGACAAAGTTCATGATTTCTTGGTCAGCTTTCTGCAAAATGAGGAACAACGGCACCAAAAAAAATTTCGATTCATTCCGATGAACATATACTAAAATTGGAATAATACAGAGACGATTAGCATGGCCACTGCACAAGGATGACACGCAAATTCGTGAAGCGTTCCAAATTTTTCTCACCTTTCAACTTTATCTTTTTGCTATGAATGCAACTGAATCCTTCCTATCAGCATTCATCATAATACATTGGAAAAATCATTTTAATCGAATATCATCACTCTTTATCATTTTACCATTTTATCACTTTATCACTCTTTAAATTATAACAATTATAAATTTTAAAAGGCATTTTTTTTATGATTGCATGTGGAATGGTTTATATGTTGAAGGATGAAAGGTTATTTTTTAGAGATTCGCATTGTTGTAAATCGTTCGAAATTTTATATTGATAAATAAAAAAAATTAATGCATTATTTTACATAATGATGGATTTTATTCAATATTAGTTTGTCGAAAAAGATCGCCTATATAGTGAATTAAAAAATTTTCCAAAAATATTTTAGATTTTATGACAATTCACTAATTTTGTGATACGAATCCCGAAATTAATAAAAAATCTTCTGAAAATCGCTTACTTATATTTTATTATTTATTGTATGCAGTTTCGTCTTAAGATAAATAAGACGAAACTCTTCATTTTATTTACTAGAATTCTGATAAGATCACAATTCAAATAAACTGATGAACGATCGAAAGTAGCGAATTTTAAATATCTCGAATCCATTATCATACTTAATGGATAAGAGAGGATATTCTAGCTTGGATAATTCAGCCAAAGGTGCCTTCTTTCGTCTGGTGAAATCTCTCTGGAATCACAGCAAAATCATCTGAAAACAAAGGTTCTCATTTTTTACTAAAATGTTTATGAGAAATCCCTCATTTTTTCAATGGTTTTCCGCGAATTTCTGAAAATAATCAGCAAGTAAAATAGAGATGAAGATTTATTATAGGTTATGCATAATCAAAAACTTCATTTTCAATTTTATTAAATTTTCAATTCATTTTAAAGCAAATATTAGTAGAAGTAATATTATTTTAAGTTCAACATTGACCTCATCGACGATTCTATTCTCATTTCAAGCTTGCGACGATAAAATTTGTTAAAACTATAAAAGCGCCCTTATGCGCCCCCTCTGCAACCATCCAAGCTCGTATGCATACCTATGGCCGTTGCTAATAAAAATTCATTTTGTATTGGGCATAAAATTAAAAAATTAAATTTTTCAGAAAATATTATTTTATTTTTATCTGATGGCTATATGGTGATCATTGCGAGCCGATATTCTTTTTCTATTCTCTTATATATATATATATATATAATATTAGAAAATGGAAAATGCCGTTCATTTGAAAAGAATATTTTGTAATAAATTATTACAATTCTAAGATACCCATAAATTTGTCGAGACGAGATGAAAATTAGAAGAGCAAAGAAGAAAACCACCAAACTGAGACATTACCGATCTCAAAATGCATGCCCTAGCAAACGAATATCAGCTCGACATACGTATTACATTTTTAAGTATGATTTTGCTATAGATGATTTCTCTTTCCTTCTGATTTTATTCTTCAAGTTCCTTTTTTTTACAATTTTTACCTTGAGCTAAGTGTTTAAGAAGTATATTAACGCGAGCAGTTAGCATTCATCACACTATTTCAAAAATTATTTTAGGATAAATAATAAATAAAGCTTGTTTTCCTATTTTAAGGAATAAACAAAAGTGGAGACGACGAAGCAACTTACTTACTTTTCATACTTTTCAATCTCGACTGTAGGAAAATGAAAATGTGTGAAATTCACGAATATGATGGATGAATACTATTACAATTTTTAGCCTTAAGCAATATGATAAGCTAGGCCAACATTTTTCATCGACTCACAGGAAAACGCAAAATCGCCAATAAATACAAATCGAAGCGAAATATTTTACATGAGCAACTGTAAAAAGATTCTATGTGAAATTTTTATTGCTTTTATCATAAGGAATTTCTAATAAATTTACAACGGATAAGACTGGAATACCTTCGTTATTTCCATTACTTCGCGAACCTTGTTTAATTACTTTAGAAGAACCATAATGTTCAAAAATATGGTGGTGTTCATGACCTTCTGCTGTATCTATTGAAATTGAAATTGAAATAGCTACTTCCACTTCGTAGTGCTGATGGAGTTCCACGCCCGAAAGGAGTAAACATGGCTGGCGAAAATTCGAGTAACATGACAACTCATCATAACAATTATAAAAATTAAAAATATTAAAAATTTATTTGAAAATTTATTAAAAATTTTAAAGAAATAAAATTAAGCTAATAGAAATCTGCAAAATATTTTTCGGAAAATAATAAATTATAAAATAGTAAAAATAGCAAATAGCAAATTAAAAATATAATAAAAATTATTTTGCCATTGGCTTTAACTAAATCAATTAATCTCTTTTTTTACCTTCGAGGAATATCTTAGTTAATTTCTACAAAGTTCTACGAATTAAATTATTATAGCAAGAAACGATTGAAATATTTGATAGAAAGGCAAAAATGATATCATCCACTTGTACGATGAAATTGCCTTAGGGTAAATTTTCTTTTCTATAAGTACGGAAGAAATTCCAATATTATGAATGTGAGAGCGGTAGGAAATGAGGGAGATTGCGGGGAATTGAGAATGGTTTCACTATTTGTGCAGCTTTTTCATTTCTTATTTTTAGATAATGCGAGGGATTTAGCTAACATTTTCTTGGATGTGGAGAGATTTTAAGGAGCTTATGCGAATAGATAGGATGGTTTCTATGCTCTTCGGGCTTCTTTGTTATATTTCAGTTAATAATATCGATAATTATTTCATGCAGCAGACTTTTTCTGGGTTTTTTTATTTACCATTAATGTTTAAACTGGCTCCGGCGGCTTGTCACATTAGACAAATATACTAGGGAGTCCCTTGGCGATAAAAATGCAGATGGGTCGCCAGCATCACCCGGTAGATTTGCTAATGCGAGCAATTGAAACTTAGTATCGTTCGAATTCAGCACAACCCATTAAGCCATCCTGTCTTTCCTAATGAGACGGACTTAGGCTATTTTACAATTTAATTTGTTACATTTGCCATAAAAGCAATTTATGTGAAAAAAATAGTCTCGCTCACTCCAATAGTTGGCAGGAAAAAACGTATATTTTATTTTATTTAGCTTTTTCAGCGTTGTCGAAGTTAAATATTATGC